ATGATATTGATCATGTCGTGAAAGATAAGGAACTGAGCAATGCCGGTGGCAATGATATTGATCATGTTGATGATAAGGAGAGTGGTGCAACAAGGAGCTTTACTAGAGAAAGAGATCTAGAGAATGGGAAAGATGATCGAGATGACTCAGAATCCACATTGTCATTATGTGGATCATCGGCCTCTTCTGCCAGTACTGCAAAGAGGAGAGAAAGAGAGAGAAAGAAGGAAAGACAACTTAAAGGAAAGTTGATAGCCTTACATCAAACGAGTGAACTTGAGAAGAAACTGAGAACACTTCAAAAACAACATGAAATGGAACAAGCCGAACAAGAAATACGAATTGCAAAAGAAAAGGCTGAGAATTTGAGAAAGAGTCAGCTTTTGAAGGATGAAGAAGCGGAGATTGAAAGACAAAAGACTGCTATTCTCTTGCAAGCAGAATTGAAGCTTCTACAACAAGATTCAGAGGAAGAGCTACAGAAATGGAAAGTGGAAGGTGATTCTTTCCGTGATCGTGGACAAGAACGAGTTAGAGGTGATTTTGTCGGTGATCATGGACAAGAACGAGATCAAGTTAGAGGAGACTCTTTCCATGATCGTAGACAAGAACGAGAACAAGTAATAGGTGATTCTTTCCGTGATCGTAGACAAGATCGAGAACAAGTAATAGGTGATTCTTTCCGTGATCGTGGACAAGAACAGGAACAAGTAATAGGTGATTCTTTCCGTGATCGTGGACAAGAACGAGATCAAGTTAGAGGTGACTCTTTCCGTGATCGTGGACAAGAACGAGAACAAGTAATAGGTGATTCTTTCCGTGATCGTGGACAAGAACAAGAACAAGCCTTTCGTAAGGAACATGTGAGCAATGAAGAAGGAGCCACCAAACAGATGCTTAGGGAGATGATTAGATTCACTGCAGAAAACAGTCTACCATCGCCAGATCTCGAGCCGTTCAATGGGGATCCACTTGATTACCTTACCTTTATAAGGAATTTTGAATATGTGGTTGAAAAGAGAACTGATGAACCTTTCAGAAGACTAGAGCTTCTACTAAAATACACACGAGGAGAAGCGCATGAGCTTATTCGAGAATGCCCCCACATACAACCAAGTAAGAGGGCATATGAGACAGCTAAGTCCATGCTACACAGAGACTATGGAAAGCAGAGTAACATAATAAATGCATACAAGGAAAGGGCAGTTGCCTGGGAGCAGATACGATCAGGAGATAGGCAAGGATTGCGAAAATTCGCAATATACCACAATAATTGCTCGCATGTTAGAGCAGCAGGGGACTTAGGAGGCATGGATAGTGCAAGTTTTCTGAGAGTTCTGGCAAGCAAACTACCCTTGTATCTCCAGCAGAAATGGATATCACGAGTAGGCCTGACTCGTGATATTGCTAATAGGAATCCCACCCTGGAAGACCTTGCACAGTTCGTCATACAGACTGAAAGAAACATTAACGATCCCATGGTACAGGGATTGGGATATCAGAGGACTGAGAAAAATGCTTCCTACAATAAAGATGAGAAAGAAAAACTACAAAAATCAAGAAGCACAAAGGCATTTGGTACAGCTACACAACAGGATAGGGAGCAGAAGGACAAGAGGGAACCAAGTTGTACTTTCTGTGGCACCAACTCAAGGCATGTTATTGACGAGTGCCGAAAATTTGAAGCCTTGACAGTTGAAGAAAGATCAGAGCAATGTAAAAGGAAAGGCCTCTGCTTCCGATGCCTGAAACCAAAACATCTGAAAAAGGAATGCAAGAGTAAGATCAAGTGTGATGTCTGCGACAGGATGCACAACACTTTAATGCATGATCCCAGGTGGATGAAAGACGGAGAAGGAAATACAAGGAAAACCACCAATGATGCTTCAACATCTACCGATGTGCAAAGTGAAGCTGGAAGGATCTCTTCAGGGTCTACCAATGTGAAGAAAAGTGTTGGAGGAAAACCCCAGACATCGACGTGCATGACGATAGTTCCAGTCATCGTGAAGCACAAAGGAAATGACAGATGCATATCAACTTATGCATTCATAGATAATGGATGTGGAACAGTCTTCTGTGACACAGAACTTACCCAAAGGCTGCATGCAAGAACCAGGAAAACCAAGCTAATAGTCAAGACATTGAATCTTGAAGAAGTGATAGATACAGAAGTCACTGTAGATGAGCTGCAGATCGCAGGAGTAAAGGAGAAGGAATTCATCAATCTTCCGCCCATCTATGTCAAAGATGGTATACCAGTGACAGTTTCAGATGCTCCAACTCAAAAGGATCTGAAACGATGGAAACATCTGAAGGACATAGCATTGCCCGAAATAAGTAACCGCAGCTCTATTTCAAGGGTAACTCTCATGATTGGAGCCAACGTTCCGTCAGCATCGATGCCTCTAGAAATTAAAGCTGGTGACATCGAAGAACCATATGCTATCCGCTCAAGGCTAGGTTGGCTCGTGTATGGTATACAAGCTCAAGAGCAAGCAGATATTCACAAAGTCTGTTTTTGTAAACAGGAAGAAGTTTCCATCATTCCTAGACAAGAGGAATTAGAACGGAAATTCAAAGACTTCTGCAATATGGAATTTACAGAGAGACTAAGTGATCACAGAGAGGGCCTGTCAGTTGACGACAAGAATTTCTTGGACATAATGGATAAATCTATCACTAAGAAAGACAATCATTATCAGATGGATCTGCCCTTAAAGCAGAGAGATGTGGCTATGCCTAACAACAAGGACCAAGCTGAAAGATTTCTTGAAAGACAAGGACAGAAGTTATCAAAGAACAAGGAAATCCATGAACAGTACACCACATTCATGAATGATCTGGAAAAGCAAGGCTATGCAGAGAAGGTTCCAGAAGCAGACTTGGACAGACATGATGGGAAGGTATGGTATATCCCTCACCATGGGGTGTATCATCCCCAAAAGCCAGGAAAGATTAGAGTAGTCTTCAATTGTCCTATCAGCTACAAAGGAAAGTCTCTTAATCAGGAACTCCTACAAGGACCAGATCTAACCAACAGATTGCTTGGTGTTCTCCTCAGATGGAGGAAAGAGAAAGTGGCTATAATGGCAGATATACAGTCTATGTTCTATCAGGTGAAAGTTACACCAGACCAATGCGACATGCTGCGTTACTTGTGGTGGCCTGAGGGGGATATCACCAAAGAGCCAGTAGCCTACAGAATGCTAGTCCATCTTTTTGGGGCTACATCTTCTCCCAGTTGTTCGAATTATGCCCTGAAAAGAACAGCAAAGGACAATGAAGGTTGTGCAAAGGAAGAAGTCCTAGATGCCATACAGAAAGACTTTTACGTTGATGATTTTCTGAAGTCAGTATCAACACCCCAAGAAGGCATTGATCTAGCTGAATCATTAAGACAAGTGTTGTCCAAGGGAGGCTTCAAGTTAACCAAATGGTCAAACAACAGACGAGAGGTCTTGGATTCCATTCCAAAGGAGGAACATGCCGTTGAATTGAAGGATTTGGACTTACAAAGGGAAGTTCTTCCAACTGAACGAGCTCTTGGTGTGAGATGGGATCCAGAAAATGACCAGTTAGGCTTCAAATTGAAAGAAATGTCAAGAAAGGCTACTCGCCGGAACATCCTATCAGTAATGAGCTCAGTCTATGATCCCTTCGGGCTAGCAGCACCATTCGTTATGAAGGCTAAGATAATTCTGCAAGAATTGTGCCAAGCTAAATTGGACTGGGACCAGTCAATCCCTGAAAAGCAGAAAATGGAATGGGAACATTGGATGAATGAGCTACAAAATCTTGACCAGGTGAAGACTGCAAGATGTCTAAAACCAAAGAACTTTGGTATAGTAACAAACAGACAGCTGCACCACTTTGCCGATGCTAGCATGGATGGCTATGGTGTTGTGACCTACTTGAGACAGACAGATGAGAATGAAGAGGTTCATGTGGCATTTTTGACAGCCAAAGCCAGGGTTGCCCCACTGAAGCCTCACACTATTGTTAAGATGGAGTTAACTGCTGCAACACTCGCAGTAAAGCAAGACAGTATGATCAAGAGGGAAATGAATATGGAGTTGGATGAGACAGTATTTTGGACGGACAGTCAAACAGTTCTGAAATACATTGCCAACGAAACTGCCAGATATCCAGTATTTGTGACAAACAGACTGAGTATCATCCGAGATGGATCAGAGACAAATCAGTGGAAGTACATTCCTACCAAGTTAAACCCGGCAGATCATGCATCCAGGGGATTGGATGCCAGTGAACCAACCAAGAAGAAGGAATGGTTTGAAGGCCCAGAATTCCTAAAGCAGTCCGAAGAAATATGGCCATCTGAGGGTGTGAAAGCTCCAGCTAGAATGGAGAAAGCTGATGATACTATGTCAGGAGATTTGGATGAGACTCACATTCATGCCACAATGATAAACAAGGAGGATCCAATAAGTGCACTCCTGTCGCACTATTCTGATTGGGATAAGCTGAAACGAGGAGTTGCCTGGATATTGAAGTTCAAGAAAATGCTACAAGGAAGGGGGAAAGGAATAGATGGCAATTCCAGTGAAATGTTCAGCCTGACAAATAAGGACATTGGAGATGCCGAAGTCGCAATTGTTAAACAATTGCAACTTGAATCATTCCCAGAGGAAATGAAACGACTGGCTGGTCATGGAGAAGAGAAAGGAGTACCAAAACGCTCTACCCTTAGTAACCTTGATCCAGAATTGAGCAATGGGTTACTTCAAGTAGGTGGAAGGTTGCAGAATGCCCAGATTCCAAGCAGTGCTAAACATCAATACATCCTACCAAAGAAGCATCATGTAACCACTCTTTTAATGCAATACATCCATAGGAGAGTTGGTCATCAGGGACAAAATCACATGGTAGCTGAATTACGACGGAAATTCTGGGTAGTAGGAGCTGGAGTTTTAGCATGAAACATAGCAAGGAAATGCATCATTTGTAGAAAGAACCAAGGAAAGGCTGGTCATCAGAAAATGGCAGAACTTCCAATAAGTCGAGTTCAGAGTGACGAGCCGGCGTTCACCAGAGTTGGCATGGACTATTTTGGTCCTTTTGAAATAAAGTGTGGAAGAAGCATAAGGAAAAGATATGGCGTAATCTTCACATGCCTGTCCTGCAGAGGGGTGCACATTGAAGTTGCATCGAGTCTAGACACAAGCTCCTGTATTGAGGCTATTCGTCGCTTCATCAGCCGCCAAGGACCTATGAAAGAGATGTTCTCAGATAATGGTACAAATTTAGTAGTAGCTGAAAGGGAACTGAAGCAGGCATTAAAGGAGCTGAATCAAGACCAGCTGATCAACTTTCATGCAAACCATGGCATGAAATGGCATTTCAATCCTCCTGCTGCTTCCCATCAGGGGGGAGTATGGGAACGCCAAATTAGAACAGTCAGAAAGATACTGTGTGCAGTCATGAGAGAGCAGTATCTAAAGTTCTACCAGAATGAGGAGCAGCTCCATACATTCATGTGTGAAGTGGAGGCCGTCATAAATAGTAGGCCTCTTACCCGATGTTCAGACAACCCAAATGATCTGGATGTAATCTCACCAAACAGCTTGCTGACTATGAAGGGTTCAACGACGCTACCTCCAGGGATCTTCGACGACAAGGACATCTACGCAAAGAAGCGGTGGAAACAGATGCAGTACTTGGCAGACCTATTCTGGAAGAGGTGGGTGCGAGAGTACCTGCCTTCTCTACAACGCCGACAAAAGTGGCTGCAGCCAAGTCGTAACCTTCAGGTGGGGGACATTGTACTCGTCATAGGTTGCGTTTATCTAGCAAATTTTTGGCTAGAATCAGGTTTCTCAAACGTCTTTCAGGCAAATTTAGAAGTAGATAAACGCAAAGCCTTTTTCAAACGTCTTTAGATATGGGCATATCAAAAGACGCAAAAAGGTGCGTTTTGTATGTGACATACAGCCAGAATCACGTTTCTGAGAGATCGATAAACGCAAAGCTGTTTTGTACCTCACATACAAATAGGACCACACAGGTGTTGTGTACAAGCAAACGTGTGAAGTTGACCTCCGAGAAACTGTCTGCTTCCCGGGTCAAACGGAGCTGAGCAGCTGCGAAGAGACAAGGCCTTTATTGTGAATCGTGAAGTGTAGATAAACGCGACATCCCGCAAATCACGATCGTATAGTGGGGTTCGATAGTGGGGTTCGATAGTGGGGTACGATATGTACATATCTAGTGGCAAGCCTAGATAAACGCGCCCCTAGACGAAACAGCGCACAGATGTTCCTGGTCCATGGCCCGAGTGCAAGAGGTTATGCCAGACAACAAGGGGTTCGTCCGCAGAGCGAAAGTGAAAACTGCAACAACATCGCTAGTAAGACCAGTAACCAAGTTGTGTATTCTACTGGAGCAGGAAATTTGAATGGAGTTTGTCTCAAATTTATGAAAGGATCTATATGTATAATATGTGAAAGTGCCTTTAAGTGGATGTGCTTTGAATCATTATTGGAGGAGGATATCAAGCAAATGAAGCAATTTGTGTTTGGATCAAGCGAACAAGTGGAATTCAGAGCGCCAGTGAAATTTTGTGTTTGTGTTAAAGTGAGAAGTAAAATATTAATAGCCCTTTGGCTAGTAATTGGTAATCATTTGTGATAATGAGCCAATACAGGATCAAATCATGTTTAATAGCGAATTTGGATCTGATCAACACATCTTTAATCGCGAGTTTGCATTGGATCAACACATCTTTAATCGAGAATTTGTATTGGATCAACACATGTTTAATCGCGAATTTGCATTGGATCAACACATGTTTAATCGCGAATTAATTGGATCAACACATGTTAAGTCGCGAATTTACACAGGATGATTTTGTCAACACGCGAATTGCAAGAGAGCAAAGTTTTACGCGATTTTAAGAGAGGACACTTCCATGAAAGGATGTCAATTTAAGACATTGAATTATGATAAGTCAGCACCGAACATTGTTTAGTCTTTGCAAGAACGATAAAGGATATGAACATGAACTGGAACGAACTAGTGAACTTTCAAACTGTTTAAGTTGAACTCTGTGAAATGCTATTCATGACTGAAATGTATATATGTAAGTTTGTTGAGTTTCAATATTTCTTTGTGTTATCACAATTGGGATGTTTAAATTGAGGATGATTGAACATACATGTACACAAATAATTAAAAGAGAATATTTTGTAAAAATTTGTTCAAGGTAATGATTGAATTAGCCTCAGAGTTAAAATCAGATACAATTTGTTAATATAAAACTTACCAGAAAGAGAGAACTCAAATAGGGTTAAAGGGAGAAAGTGTTTTGAAAACAGTGTATTTGTTGACATAGAAAGTTAGAAATTTCATTTCATTAGATGTTCAGAACATTAACATGAATGAAAAGATTTAAATATATGTGTCTGCACTCTGCAGTGTAGAGCATTATAAGGAAGTTCAGATTGTGTTATATTTAAATTGAGGATTAACATGTTTAAGTGAAGTAAGGAATGTTATTTAGTTTTATGTGCAAATGGCAAGGATATTTGCATGTGCTTAGTAGTCAATCCACAATGTGACTTCAGTCATGCAGGTAAACTTCGGACAGATTGATATATGCAAATAGAAAGAACAAGGTTAATGTTCAAGCAGAAGTATAAGTATTACATGTATGAAGATGGTATTATGCACAATGCTAAATATTTCCTTTTCTCTATTGTTTGAAAGTACATGTGCATCTACGTTATTTCGATGTTCCTTTTATGTTGATGTACATGTGCATCAGTTCAGTTCAATCGAAGGTGTTCAGAAATTGTTTTATGTTTCAGTAAAAACAAAAGGAAAAATGTTAAAGGTAGTAAATATAGCCACTAATTATTCTTGTTTTAGAAGAACAATTCTTGTGTTTGGATTTCATATTACTGGTTTATTTCCAGAGTTATATTTTGAAAGGCAATTATAACAAAAATGGTGTTTTTGATAATTTAATTACTATAGGTATTACATTTTGACAAAAGTTTGACAAAAGTTTGACAGCTATGAGTAAACATTGAAAATATTTTGATTTAAAGTTATCATTGATTTATGATTATTTTGTATTGGATGCTTTTGTTGAGTTGATACAGTAATGTTTATAGTAATCCTGGGATAAAGCTCGATTTTGCAGAATTTAGTGTATTCTGTGCATTTAGATAGTAGAAATTGGCAGAGTATAGAGATATAAGTGTTACATCTCATTGTGATTATGATTTGTTTTGGAAACAGTTAGGTATTATATTAATAGAAAGTGTTTGAATTTAATTTTACCTAGGTTATGAGACAATATGTAGAAAATGGTCATAAACATTTGATAATACATGTAGATAACAGTTGGTATTTTGTTAATTTACATCAGTGGTGGACAATTAAGTTTTGGTTAAATAGATGTTAATCGTTGCATCCTCTAGCTGCAACTGGGGGGAGGAATGTAAGGATCAAGATATAAGAAGCCAAATTTAGTTTTTGTTTTGAGGATACCGTAGATTGACTGGAATTGTTGTACAAACGTAGCTAGGCTTGTCACATGGGAACTACAAATATGATATGATGTGGGCACGGATTCAAGGAAGGAAAACTTTGTTTTACCTACTAAACTACTACTATTATTGCTACTTTGTACATTCCGGTGTATGGAAATGATTGGAGTTCAGTTGAGTGTTAATAAACAAAGAACCATGAAATTACCACATTGTCTCAAGGATCATATGTAGATATCTCTACACCTTCCACGTGAAATGTTTTGCAAAGTCACCATTATAGCCATGTCAGCATCGTATTTGGATACATATTTTTTGCCTAGTCTGTCGGAAAAAGAATAATTGTGATGCTCATGATATAATTGGCCCGAGCTAGCTATTTAGGACAGTACTGTATTATTTGGAAGCTAACAGCGACAGACAAAAAGAGCATTTTAGAAGAAGAAAAAAAATTGTTAATAATTTAATCATTGCTGCCGAACAACTTTGATAGATGTATGAGGATGTCCGGTCTGCGTCATTTTTTTCTGCGGCACAGATTGGGGCTTTTTTGGGGCATAGTATTTGGATACATATTTTTTGCCTAGTCTGCGGCACAGATTGGGGCTTTTTGGGGGCATAGTATTTGGATACATATTTTTTGCCTAGTCTGTCGGAAAAAGAATAATTGTGATGCTCATGATATAATTGGCCCGAGCTAGCTATTTAGGACAGTACTGTATTATTTGGAAGCTAACAGCGACAGACAAAAAGAGCATTTTAGAAGAAGAAAAAAATTGTTAATAATTTAATCATTGCTGCCGAACAACTTTGATAGATGTATGAGGATGTCCGGTCTGCGTCATTTTTTTCTGCGGCACAGATTGGGGCTTTTTTTTAAAGAGGTCTTGATTTAACCCTAACCCTAAAACTAACCCTAACCCTAAACTTTCACATAGGCTCAACACGCACCTAACCACTATCTGTGCCGCAGAAAAAAATAACGCGTCCGGGCTGGTGTTACTCTTTCTTAACATTATCCCGTATCGTTTTCACTGCAGTGCCATTTCCTCCTCTTATTCAATTTTCTTTTCTTTATGTCGGCTACCTACCTGGCTACCTAGCTGCCACCGTCAGTTGCTGGCGATTGGCGACCACATTTGCACATCTTCTTGTTGTCTTTCTCCATTTGTTTATATCCTGTGCTAATCTTTTGGCTTCTGAATATGTGAGACCTGTCCATTCTTTGATGTTATCAAACCACTGCTTTCTCTGTCTGCCTCTTTTTTTTTTCCTTCTACTTGGCTTTCGATTATTTGTGCTGCTAAGGGCTCCCACTCGGCTCCCACTGCCACGCAGAATGTGTCCATAATAACCCATCTTGAGGCGGGCCACTTTTCCAAGGAGATCTCTTTCTGTGTTTAGTTCTTGCAGAACACTGAGGTTAGTTCTTTTGTCCTTCCAGCTGATTTTTAGCATTTTCCTCCAGAACCATGCACGTTTCTGCTGCCATGATGCGATTTTCATCGGCTTTGAGCAGTGTCCCGCTTTCAGCATCATAAAAGCAAAGCACTCCAAACCAGGGTTTTTATTAGTTTATTTTCAGACCGGTTAAAGCCTCACTGTCCTACTTGTAGCTACTTGCTCCCTCTATATAACAAACTTCCCCAATCGGTGCCTGTTGGTCCCCCATGATCCTCTTTTTCTTATGTTAGTTGAGAGTTGAGTCAATGAGATAGCCACCTGCCAAAGTGCATGCAGGTCCACCATTCTCTTCTTTGCTATAGCTATTCTGATCTCTATATCACTGGTACAGCTGGCATCGCTGTTCTTTGTAGATCCAAGATATTTGAAGCTGACTACATCTGTGACTGTTTCCCCGTCGATCTGGATGCTACAATCGGTATCTGAGGTTTTACCAGCAACTAGGACTTTAGTCTTTTCAAAATTTAAATGCAAGTTAAGTTTCTTGCCGGCATCGTTTACTGCGTGTGTGCGACTTTACGTTGGAGGGAGTACCTAAAAACACTTTTGGGTGGGAATTTTCTTGCGTAACCAAGAATTGTTTTATGCTGAACCGATCTAAAATAACTCCTTGTTGTGACCAGTTTCATTAACGTGACTATTATGATTTTTGTGACGGCAATTGTCATAGACTTTGGTGCCGAGACACAATTGATCATGTCTGATTGGCACACGTATGTAAAACCAAATTCAACCCGCCTACATGCACACACACACACGCACGCACACACACACACACAAAACACCCTTATACACGACACTTGGACGCTCATCGCTTTCTCCTGTTTTACGACAATATCCGAAAACGATGTGATACAATCCATCGTTTATTCAGAGCCTTCTTCTGTAGCGGTTTCTTTGATTCTAATTCTTATCATTTTTGTCAATTTTGCCCTTAATTCGCAGGCCCGGCGGATGAGAAGTGTATCTCTCTCTCTCTCTCTCTCTCTCATTTACATGTATGTCATAAGAAACTTTACCCTGCGTAATGGGGCGCACCTTTGGAGATGTGGTAGAGAACATGTTTTCTGGGGTGCTTTCCCCCAAATATGTGATTAAGATCACGATTTAAATCTTTATATCAATCACTTAATTGATAGATGTTTATTTAATCTTCGTTTGAATAGTTCTCTGAATGATTGATTGGTTCATTTTTCACTCATTCAATCAGTCACTTGTTCACTCATGCATTCATTCATTAATTCGTTTATCATCATTTATTCTTTCATCCATTCATTCACTTAATCATTCATCTATCTACTCTATCACCCATCTTTGCAATCATTTAATTAATATTTTCATTCATTCAATTGATTAACTAATCAACTAGTTTATTCCTTCATTCATGCATTCATTAAGTCAGTCATTCGTGCATTCATTCACTCATTCACTCACTAAGGCTAGCCGAATTTTCCACTTTTGGTCAACATATCTCTACATGGAGATGGACAAAACAAGCAGACTGCCTCAATGCAAATGAAACAAAAACGATTTGACTGAAACAAATATGTCAGAGAAACTAATTGTTTTAATTGTGCAACAATGATAATTCTCATTAATGTCTTGATACGAATGTAATTTGCAGCAGACTGCATCAAATAAACCAAGAAATGAGAGAAACACTACCTTTCATGAATGAAATTTTGAAATATGCAAGTGTTAACAAAAGGATTAAACAAAATTATACCAGCTTAATACTCATAGTATAAAAAACAACATTTAAGCTTTGAATAATTAAAAAACCGGGGTAAAATGCTGTTGTTGTGATAATTGATAATTTGTTTAGGTAGTATGATATGTCGCTCATCAAAATAGGATCACGGATTACTGACCACCCCGAAAATAAATTCTATCACCACAATAGCCATACTTGACTATTGTTACATCAGTGTCAATAACTCAACACTCATTAAACTAATTAAACTACAATGTGCATTTCAACTCCACCCCAAGCCTTTACACATGAACTCTCTTTCATTAACTCCTTTTGTAGACGTTGTCCTACTTTTGTAAAAAGTAAGAGTTTAACAGCACTGAACAACAAGATTCCACTCAGAGTTTAACAACACTGAACAACGAGAATTCCACTAAGAGTTTAACAACACTGAACAACGAGATTCCACTGCAGTTTAATAAAACTGAACTCAAATGTGATTTCACTTGGAGATCAACATTAATGAACCACAAAGTACATTTGTACATGTACACTCCTTTTCACAGACACTTTTCCGCTTTATTTCTCCAAGAAAATGTAGCAATTCAAGCACTTATATTTTCACTTAAGAAGGTAGAGTATTGATCTTGAATTGGAAGAGGCACCATTGCTTTATCTGAACCTAAAAAACATAATTTGAAAGGGAAACTATATTTCTCCTTAAAAAAAAACAAGGTATTCACGAGCACTTCTTGCATAGTATATCTACTCTCAAATCAAGTGACACTACATGTACCTGTACAGTTACTATACATTCTATTACAGATTACACCAATTACCCTCGTTTAACCTTTCTAAAAGTCCATTTGTAAGCAGTGGCTTGATTATTCCGCTAAAACCAAAGAAGTCTATTTCCATTTCCATTCAGGATGGGTCGTCTAATCTGTATGCCTTTACTGTGCCTGCATCTGGGATACTTTGGGAGCAAGTTGTATGTAGTTTGACAGGAAGCTTAACCCGTTGACTACTGAATTATCTAATTCCCATAGGCTTAACACAGGGACCACCAGGTTCCCGTATAAAGCAAAGGGTTAATATGGGAAATATAAAGATTTCCAGAATGCAAAAAAAAAAAATCATAAT